AGGCTCCAGAGATATCACTGAGTTTTGATAAAAGACATTGAATGTTTTCAAAACCGTGTTCGTTTCTAAAGGAAATCCCACAGGTTACTTATGACCTTGTTTTTGCACACTGTACAACATAAGGCTCTAACTCAGTTCTAGTCTGACTCACCAGATGCAGGTTAGGTTCATGCAATAAGCCATGCCTGCTTTCTGTCAATTGTTGTAAAGATCTACAATGAATAAAACAACTGGCCAGTCTGGTTTGATTGGCCACATATTTTGAAACATCCCCAGTCAATCAATACTTGAATATGTTCTATTTTGCATTGGGGGTCTGATCTCAGACCATCCCAACTCCCCACTGCATCAGCAAACTTTCTGGTGCCGCTGTCAACAGAGCTGTTCTCCTCCCAGAGAGTCTACCCACAGCTGTCGCTGTCTTTAATTTAGATATGGCAGTGTTAGCCGTGTGATGCTAACAGTTAGCCCTGTCACTGTGTGTGTTCCTCACTGACTCTCTTTTGCAAGTGCAGCATCACTGCGATTGTGATTGGTTTAGAGAATCAAAAACAAGCCACAGTATTTTTCTAATATAGCAGAATGGTAATATGGTGATGGGTCTAGCTACATGAAATTAACTAAATTCTGACCAAATGTTAAATCCTGAACACACTTTTCTACATATCTCTACCTAGAAAATTAGCCCACAACAACCCCTCATTGAAAGCAAGTAAGAAGGAAGGACTGCTTCAAAGATCCCAAAGAATCATGCCTGATCAACCAATGCAATACAAGTTACATCAGTTAATAAATTATCTATGCGTCTCTGAGCTACATACTGTGTTCTGAGGAAGGTGCAATAAAAAACCATAACAAACTCTTGCTTGACCCATTGTGTTATTGTTGTTTTTGGACGTGATTTACGTGAATATTTTTATTATGTGTGTTTTTCACTTCTGTCTAGGATTTAAAACATTCCTTACTTTGTCATCATCAGGTGGTAGTATGACAAATAGCACATAACAATGACACCAGAGGACACTTCCCTTCTTTTTGATAACATTGTTACAACAAAGTTTGACCAGTATTGTTAAATGATCTTGCTGTAAGTTTCCTCTTCAGTCCTTGGTTGATGGCTCCAGAATCTGCACCTGATCCAGGTAGGCACATTGTGTAAAATCTTTTATAAGGAAATATGTCAGTATTGATTTTTTTGCTTGTTCTGCTCAGAAACAGGCAAAAAAAATCTAAATACAGATTTAAAGACTATTCGCATTAGAACTTACTATATTAAAAAATAAAGTAATATTATCTTATGTCATATTTATAGTCATAACAAATTTAATAGTAAAGCATGTTATAAAAGTATTATTAAAAGAGTGGTAGTGTTGTGTCATTAAAAATGTCACTGCAGGAGTCAGATGATAGTACGCCATGAATAAACAAATCATAGTATAGGCAATAGTATAGAATATTATTTTAAAAAGCCACTACATATAATGTACCATTAAAACGTCATTAAAAATGTCATAGTATAGTGTGCCATTAAAAAAACTTTTAAAAAGGCCATAGTATGGCATGGCATGAAATATTCATAAAAGCATGTCATAAAGGTATCATTAAAACGTAATAGTACAGTATGTCACAAAAAAGGTAATACAAAAGTACTAGCATGGTTTGCCAAATCAAACAATTTGTGTCGTCAATAATCATAAAAAAATGTCATACCATAGTATGTCGTCAAAAATAATGTGAAATCATCATAGTATAGTAAGTTGTGAAAAATCATAAAAAAATGTCATAGTATAGCATTTCATCAAAAATCATGTAAAAATGTCATAGTATAGTATGTCGTCAAAAATCAGGAAAAAAACTCATAGTATAGCACGTCGTCAAAAATCATGAAAAAACGTCATGGTATAGTATGTCGTCAAAAATCAGGAAAAAAACTCATAGTATAGCATGTCGTCAAAAATCATGAAAAAACGTCACAGCAAAGCATGTCGTCAAAAGCCATGAAAAAACGTCATAGTATAGCATGTCATCAAAAATCATGAAAAAAACCTCATAGTATAGCATGTTGTCAAAAATCATGAAAAAATGTCATAGTATAGCATGTTGTCAAAAAAACGTCATAGTATAGCATGTCATCTGAAATCATGAAAAAAAGTCGTAGTATAGCATGTTGTCCGAAATCATGAAAAAAAGTCATAGTATATCATGTTGTCAAAAATCATGAAAAAAAGTCATAGTATAGCATGTCGTCAAAAATCATGAAAAAACGCATAGTATAGCATGTCATCAAAAATCATGAAAAAAGTCATAGTATAGCATGTTGTAAAAATCATGAAAAAACGTCATAGTATAGCATGTCGTCAAAAACCATGAAAAAATGTCATAGTATTCAATGTCGTCAAAAATCATGAAAAAAAGTCATAGTATAGCATGTTGTCAAAAATCATGAAAAAATGTCATAGTATAGCATGTTGTCAAAAAAACGTCATAGTATAGCATGTCATCTGAAATCATGAAAAAAAGTCATAGTATAGCATGTTGTCCGAAATCATGAAAAAAAGTCATAGTATATCATGTTGTCCGAAATCATGAAAAAAAGTCATAGTATAGCATGTCGTCAAAAATCATGAAAAAACGCATAGTATAGCATGTCATCAAAAATCATGAAAAAAGTCATAGTATAGCATGTTGTAAAAATCATGAAAAAACGTCATAGTATAGCATGTCGTCAAAAACCATGAAAAAATGTCATAGTATTCAATGTCGTCAAAAATCATGAAAAAAAGTCATAGTATAGCATGTTGTCAAAAATCATGAAAAAATGTCATAGTATAGCATGTTGTCAAAAAAACGTCATAGTATAGCATGTCATCTGAAATCATGAAAAAAAGTCATAGTATAGCATGTTGTCCGAAATCATGAAAAAAAGTCATAGTATATCATGTTGTCCGAAATCATGAAAAAAAGTCATAGTATAGCATGTCGTCAAAAATCATGAAAAAACGCATAGTATAGCATGTCATCAAAAATCATGAAAAAAGTCATAGTATAGCATGTTGTAAAAATCATGAAAAAACGTCATAGTATAGCATGTCGTCAAAAACCATGAAAAAATGTCATAGTATTCAATGTCGTCAAAAATCATGAAAAAAAGTCATAGTATAGCATGTTGTCAAAAATCATGAAAAAATGTCATAGTATAGCATGTTGTCAAAAAAACGTCATAGTATAGCATGTCATCTGAAATCATGAAAAAAAGTCATAGTATAGCATGTTGTCCGAAATCATGAAAAAAAGTCATAGTATATCATGTTGTCCGAAATCATGAAAAAAAGTCATAGTATAGCATGTCGTCAAAAATCATGAAAAAACGCATAGTATAGCATGTCATCAAAAATCATGAAAAAAGTCATAGTATAGCATGTTGTAAAAATCATGAAAAAACGTCATAGTATAGCATGTCGTCAAAAACCATGAAAAAATGTCATAGTATTCAATGTCGTCAAAAATCATGAAAAAAAGTCATAGTATAGCATGTTGTCAAAAATCATGAAAAAATGTCATAGTATAGCATGTTGTCAAAAAAACGTCATAGTATAGCATGTCATCTGAAATCATGAAAAAAAGTCATAGTATAGCATGTTGTCCGAAATCATGAAAAAAAGTCATAGTATATCATGTTGTCCGAAATCATGAAAAAAAGTCATAGTATAGCATGTTGTCCGAAATCATGAAAAGAAGTCATAGTATATCACGTTGTCAAAAATCATGAAAAAACGTCATAGTATAGCATGTCATCAAAAATCATGAAAAAATGTCACAGTATAGCATGTCATCAAAAATCATGAAAAAACCTCATAGTATAGCATGTTGTCCGAAATCATGAAAAAAAGTCATAGTATATCATGTCGTTGAAAATCATGAAAAAACTTCATAGTATAGCATGTCATCTGAAATCATGAAAAAAAGTCATAGTATATCATGTTGTCAAAAATCATGGAAAAAACCTCATAGTATAGCATGTCGTCAAAAATCATGTAAAAACGTCATAGTATAGCATGTCGTCAAAAATCATGTAAAAATGTCATAGTATAGCATGTTGTCCGAAATGATGACAAAATGTTATAGTATGGAATGTCAAAACAAAATAGTCATGGTATAGCATGCCATAAAATTTAAATTAAAAAAATGATTGTACAGTATGCAGAGATATTAAAGATGTTAAAAAAAAGGATATACTATGTAACAAAAAATAATATAAAACATTCTAGAACCATAAACTACATTAAAAGAATGGACATAGGCACAATAACATCATCTATTGGTCTGCGAAGCTATAAAGACCAAAACTGTCTTTTTGTACCAGGCTATTGTAAAGTTCGACATTTTAACATAAGAATAAGAATACGAATAATAATAAGAATAACTTTATTCATCCCCAAGGGGAAATTCAATTATCTGTCAGCTAATCTATTATACTGTATGTCAAAGAATTATAAAGCCTAATGGCTGTTGGTATATAGGATCTTCTGTATCTGTCTGTCCTGCATTGAAGAGAGAGGAGCCGTCCACCACAGTTTTTTTGGTCCATCAAGGTGTTGTGGAGTGGATGATCTGGGTTGTTCATGATGGCCTCGAACATCTTCAGTGTGCATCTCTCCACCACCTCCTCCAGTGTGTCCAACCTGACTCCAATCACAGAGCCAGCTCTTTTGAGCTCTTTTGTCCAGCCGCCTTGCATCTTTGTGTCTGATGCTTCCTCCCCAGCAGACTGCAGCATAAAACAACACGCTTGCCACCACAGACTGATAAACATCTACATATATATACATGGGTGTTGATGGGGATTGACTCGCTGTTGGAGCCAGCATCTAGTGGCCATTGGAGGAACTGCAAATATTGGCACTTGCACATTTGCTTCATTTCTCAACCCCAAAGGAAAAAGTGAAGAACAAAAGGAGCAAGGAGAACAAAGAGAAAAGGAATACACAATGAAAGAGAGAAACTGTTTCATCAGTGGAGTTTAATCCAGTTTGTTATTTCATACATGAATGCTGGTTTGAAATACACCAATTTAATTGTCTGCACTCTTCAAAGTGTAGGGATGGGGTTCGATAGCATTTTAATTAAACTGAAACCAGTTCCAAATCCAGTGATTGAATCTTGATATGTAGGGAGGGAGGTGGGGGCTGTGCTGCAGCTAGAGAAGTCACAGAAGCTAAAGTATAAACAACACAGTGGAAATAAGGTTGGTTCTACTTTATCGTTCAGCAAATATCATCTATAACTCCAATTTCTCTACATGCACAATGCACTTAATGTTACCCAATACATATTTGTTGTTGCTTTGCCACAAGTCACAGAATCTGACAAGCCACAGAAGTGTAACACCAGTAGGCTGATGGGCAGTGCAGGCATCCTTCCCAAGATACCAAAAACACCACAAGTTCTTACTTAAACACAATAGACGGCAGATAAATATTGAAGCAACTTGTCATTACCGCATTAATCACACAACGTTTTAGTTAAGGCAGATCACCATGTACAGTCAGTCGGTCTTCTTTTATATTTGTCTTTCTTTCTTTGCAGATGCCTGCGTTGCCAAAAAGAGGCAAAAGAGGCTATCTGAGAGAAATCATGGATGAAATATTTGATAAAGGATTCGGTGGGCACAAAGCTTAACAAATGCAGGCATTTCACCAACTTGGAACCGGATCCAAAAATAGGACCGGCTATCGAAACCCATCCCTGACCAAGAGTGCAACAATGCAGGTACTTCTACATGTAAGCTTGGCATGACACATATCATCCTCAGTATGCTATTAACTCAGTGTTGTTTAATTGGCATCCGATGCTCATACATATACCCATTATTAACATAGTTCCATCACCACAGTTGTGATATTATTTTGAAATAAGCTTATACCACACACAGTAAACAACCATCGATGCTGTCGTAATCATCCGTGAAAACCACTGACACGTTTACATATCTTTGAGTTCAGCTCTGCTCTCTGCATCATACAGTTATGGCTATCTTTCATTTTGCAAACCCAATGTGCTTTTCTCCTCCTACCGACAATTGTTGGTAGAATTTAACTTTAAAGTCGTACAAAATAAAAGTCCCGCCAGTCACTCTGACACTAGAAGGCATTTTCTCTGTTGTTTGGCTTCATGTATAAAACTGGTGTTCTACTTGAGGACTTCAGGGAGGGAAGAGACCGTAATTGTGTGTCTTATTAAAGTCAGTGTTTTTCAATAAACAATTTAATAATTCTTCTAAAAGAAAAAAGTCATCTTTGAGTTTGTACTTCAAACAATGAAAGTATAAGTAACGAGACTTTTTAAAAGTACCTCTTCCTTGTGCAATTAACTGAACATTTTACAAAACCTTTCTCTGTACACTCTGGATACGAGTGTCTCTTCTCTGTCGAGGAAAAGAAAATGGCGCTAACATTTCCATGCACATTAAGGGGAAGTACAAAAGTTTTTTTAACATTTTGTATTTCTAGTAAATCCATGGGCAAGAGAGGTAAGGTGTATGTATGCACACACATGGCTAAAAACTCATCTGTATGCATATAAATAACTGTTTCATATCTGACTACAGCTTTCACTATAATAACAGTGTGATTACAGTGTTTACTTTAATGATCTGTCACTGTGATGGGTTGTGTTCCTCACTTGGAACTGACAGCCTTCTTAGTAATGCTTGCTCTCCTGCTTCCTCCTCCTCCTGCCGCGCCTCCTCCGTGCCAAAGATGGCCGGGGATGGTGAAGGCGTCCACACTCATGCCCATGGTTTTAGAAGGGATGGCACTAAATTGCTTCCTGTCTGAACTGTATTTATAGATGGACTCCACCTGGGTGGAGCCAATTGTCCGCGGGCCCACGCCAGCCAATCGAACGAGCTCCTGGGAGTCGGGGTTCATGGTGTAGACGCCCCTGAACTGGCAGCTGGAATCACGGAAGAGGATGAGGAAGTGGTTGGCGGGACTCTTCTCCATCTCCTGAGGTTGGAAGACGTTGGAAGTAAGACAAAAAAAAAATTGTGAGTGTATGATCTTCAAATGTGCAAGCAGTGGTGAAAAGTGACCAATTACATGCAGTATACACAAGTTCTGTATTTCCATTTAAAGCTACTTTATACTTATACTCCAATACAATTCAAAAGGGAAGTATAACACATTTTACTCCACTACACTTATCTGACAGTTGTAGTTAGCCTACTTTTTGGACGGAGATTTCACATTTATAATAAAGTACAAAGTTCATACAACACATTGCACTGTTGAGAGACTGAAGTAGCTGTTCCCAGTGTTTATGGCTTGTGACCCAATGCAAAACAGCAGTGTCACGTTAGAACCATTTGTCACGTTTCAGTTCCAAAAAAAGACACTTTCCTTTAAAATTTTTGATTAATGTTGGAGGTCCAAAGAGGTAAAATTCTCTAATATTTCCCCCCAAAGCAAATATTTAGTAAAAAAAAATCTCAAGACAGAAAACAAATGTGTGTATCAGAGCTTTGTTTTTCTTCTTTCCTCTCCTATTAATCATGTCACAGCCCCTCAGGTTTATCTTGTGTACTTTTCGAGGGGCTGGACCCCTAGGTTCAACACCACACAACTAAACTAGCTAACAGTATATTAAGTGGTTAAGACTAGCCCCACCTTGACCGGCTACAACCATGAAATGCTGCTGATGCTTCTGTATTAACGAATACTTTTACTTCTATATTTTGCTTGATTATAATTCTGTACTTTTACTTAAAGGGACAGTTCACCACCAAATCAAAAATACATATTTTCCTCTTGCCTGTAGCACAATTTATCAGTCTTGATTGTTTTGGTGTGAGTTGCAGAGTGCTGGAGATATCACCAGCAGAGATGTCTGCCTTCTCATGATTAAAATGGGACTAGATGGCACTCAGCTTGTGCTGCTCAAAGCGCCAAAAAAGTACATTTGAAAAGTTCAACAGCAATGTCTCTTTCCAGAAATCATGACCTGGCTACTCAAAATAATCCACAGACCTTGTTGTGGTCAATTTCATGAGGATCTATTTTCTTCCTACTGAACTACACCTGCCAACCACATCACCACACAGTAGGAAGCGTGCGTCTACTGCTAGCTCACCTAGCTTCACTGAGCTGCTAACATCACAGCTCAGCTGAGGAGGAAGGCATTAATGTTTGCATCTTGCACTGTCGCAAGCACAAGCCTGTCCGCCATGAGCAGCTGCATAGTCCCTCTGTGCAATGATACAGTTGGTGGGTGCAGTGTAGTAGAGAGGAAACTGTCTATGACACTGCTCACAACAAAGTCTGTGGATTATCTTGAATAACCGGGTCATGAAATCTGGAAAACGACATTGCTGTTGCATTTACTGTTTTTGTGGCGCTTTGAGCACCACTGCTGAGTGCCAGCTAGCTGCATTATATCGTAGAGAAGGCAGACATCTCTACAGCAGATATCTCCAAAACTCAGCAGCTCACACCAAAACAATCTAGATTGATAAATAGCACTACAGGCAAGAGGGGAAATATTCAGCTTTGATTTGGGGGTGAACTGTAGCTGTACTTTAAGTAGGATTTTAAATACAAAACTCTTATATTTATATCGTGGTATTGTTTAATGAAGTACAAGATCTGAGTATTTCTTCCTCTGTTGCATTCAAGTAACCTAGTTTAGTGCCTAAAAATGCAAGTACCAATTAAAGCAGCATTCACAACAAGATTTAAATGATTAATGTCATAAACTTTAGCAATGTGGCAGGAAAGTGGCTCATAGTAAAGTCAAATGAATCATTTACCTCAACTATCTTGTTTTTCTGAGACTCATTGACCTTTCCAGCGAGGCAGCAGCGAGAGAGAGCGTTGTGAATGATGAACTTGTTGGACTTGAAGCTTGGTTCTTTGAAGAGCTTTGGCCCTGCAAATACAAACACAGACACACTTGTCAACACTACAACAATTACAAGCATTTTGGTAAGCTCTACTCAATCAATACTGAAGAACTGAAAGACAGTGTGCAGTACTGTACCTGTGTATTCTGGGGCAGGAGAGGTTCCATTGGAACCAGTCTCCCAGTCTTTATCTCCGTTCTGATTTGCCAGTTTGCTTGGTGTCACACATCCTGCAGGTGAGTCAGGGCGGCTGTTGGAGAAATGTCAAACAATGAACCAACAGGCCATCAGGTCATATCTGTATCTGAACAAGCAGTAAGTTTAACTTGTAATGATCCATGATGCTATTTTACTAATGCTAGCACATTAGCACTATCTTCATTTACCTCAAGCTTCAGCTAATATTAGCATGTTAGCATGTATACACTTGCAATGTGCTTATGTTTTGCATGTAGCACTGGTAAAATCTATAAGCATCAAGCATGGTATTGTAATATGATTACATTTAACATGCTAGCATTATTTCAGAGTAATTTGGCCATTACGTTTAGAGGTACCCCGCCATGAACTTAAGGTTAAATTTTGACATGTTGTTTATGCTAACGAAAATTCTGGGGATCAGATTTTGGCGTATCCTTGGGGGACCTTGAATTTCTGCACCAAATTTCATGGCAATCCATCCAATCGTTTGCAAGATATTTCACTCTGGATGAAATGATAGGGCTTAAAGGACTGACCAACCAGCACTGCCATCTCTCAATACATCCATATATTGTGGCTAAAACCTGTAGAAATAAGACTAAAGATGCATACTAAATGCAGCAGAGTACCTGTGGGGTTTCTTAGTGGAGTCACCACATCCTTTTCCTGGCTGATCCGTGGCTGTCAGGTTAAGGGAGGAGTTGGAGTAGACTTTGGTCAACTTAGAGCCTGGAGAAACAAAAATATTAAAACTGTTTTGAAATCATCTGCAAACACTAATTAGTTTGTGGATGACTTCTCACTTTCATTTTACCTATTGTTCCTTTGGCTGGACTCAGAGACAGTTGCGTTTCCTCTCTGGTCATGCTGCGTGGACGAGAGCGGGTTTTCTTAGCGGAAGATTTTCCTTGAGTAGCTGTTTTCTGCCGAAGCACTTTGTCCAAGTCCTCCATGATCCTGAGTTGATTGCGCCGTGTGTACTCCCCTCGCGTGAAATCTCCCCGGCGTGCTGGTGTAGCGGGAGGTGTGAGGGAAGGTGAGGTCATGCCTGCGGGAGGTGTTTTGGAGGGAGATGCCACTCTTTTGTCTGACGGCCCTGATCTGAAACCAAGATGATTTAGGTTACTTTTACATTTTTGACTTAGTTGAGAAACATATAGCTATGCAGAGAACTTTGTCAGCATTTATAAATGTGTTTGTGTGTTACCTGTTTTCTCTTTCTTGCTCATTCCACTGTCTCCTTTTCTTCAGTTCCTCAGTTCTCTTCTGCTGTTTTTCCAACAGCAAAGCTCTACGCTGGGCCATCTCCTCCTCACTACGTACCTCCTCCTAAAACATGGCAGACAGAATTATGATAGATAGGATTAGTATTTTTATGGGCATGCACACCAAATTTTCCCTTCCATTTTGTTTTGCAAGCACTTACCTGAAAGAAAAATCCAACTCCTCCTCTTGTCCCAGGCTCTTTCTGCTCTCCACATGGTTCCAAAGTTTCAGTCTGTTTTGTCTGTTCTGACAAACTGCCGTCTCCTGTGGCCAGATCCAGCTGCTCTATGGGGTCTAGGGGCTCTGCACCAAGTTGTCTAGCAGGTTCCGCTGCAGATTCTGTGTGGTCACTCATAGAATCAGAGGAAAACTCCTGCCCTTCATCAGTTGGTTCATCACTGCCCCCCTCTGGCCCTCCAATAGATGACAGCGAGACCTCAATCAGGCTGTTGCGCTTGTCTGCACCTCCACCTCGCTCGCCTTCACCTATTGCGCTGAATGCAGCAGAAAGGGACAAAGTCTCGCTCTCAAATGAGCACTCAGAGGGAGCGCCAGAGCTGCTTCCACCACCAGCCCTCAGACGGTCTTGGCCGGGCTGTGGTAAGAGCGGCAGCCCTCCCACAGCCTCCACATCCTCCTGCTCAAGCTCCAGACTGAACTGAGTTGGTGTCTCGCTGGAGCCTGTGTCCGAGGTGTTCTCCTCAGGCTGTGGTTGCTGGGTAGGCTGAGGAGGCTCTTGAGGAGTCCGAGGCCCACCAATACGGAAGGAAGAAGAGGTCTGAACCTGACACTTGCTGGGGGACACACGCCGCAGGTGGGGGAGGGTGTCCACGTTTTGGGTTGGGGCCAAGACACGGTTGAGTGGGGGGAATTTGAGTTCGGAAGGCCTTGGGTGAGGCTGATGATGGGCCCGTGGGTGGTGCTTGGGGCTGCGGGGAGTGGAGGAGGAGTGGATCTTAGTGCGAGGAGCTGGGCAGGAGGAGGAGATGATAGTCTTTGGGGAGGTAGAAGAGGAAACAGGGTGGGAACGCCGTGATGGGGAGGAGGCAGCGGGGGTACTGGGACCAGGAATCACCCAAGCTTTACTGGCACTCCTCGTAGAAGTCTTCGTTGGGGTTCTTGGTGGTGTCTTTGTTGGGGTGTGAGGAGGAGTTTTGGGTGGTGTTTTGGTGGTACCTCTAATTGTTGATTTTGGAGCAGCTTTGGGTGTATTTCTAGGTCTTTGGTTGCCCATGAGCTGCTGTTGTTGTTCTGTAAGTTTCTGCATGTCCCTTTGTAGTGACTGTAGAGCTTCACTCAGTTTCTGCACCACTTCATTGCATTCCACTAAAACAGCTTCACCTCCTTTTTCTTTCTCCTCCCCTTTTTTACTGTCAATAGAAAATGTGACCTGCTTCTCCAGCCGAGGAGGATTGGAGACAGATGGCTTCTCTTTCTCCTTCTCTCCATCCTTTTCTTTCTCTTCCCTCTCCTCCTCCTGTTTCAGTTGTTCCTCCATGCAAGTGAGGCGCTCCTCCAGGGTGAGACTGTCCTCCTCCACGCCCTCCCCTCCTCCCTCTCCTTGCTCTCTTTTCAGTTGAAGGAAAGCAGTTTTTCCAAGCCTCTGCCTGTGCTTGGCAAAGATGGCTTCAATACGTCTTTTTTGGGCTTCGATGCTTTTGCGTTTTTCCTCCAGACGAGCTCCCAACTCCCAGGCGTCAGAGCTCAGTTCAGGGCCTCTGGGACTTGGGCTGTCCTGGCGGCCAGGTGCCCCTGCTGGGGTGGAGGGTGTATGTGGAGTTCCTGGGGTTGTTGGGGTTGGAGCAGAAGCTGACTCCTCCCCAGGAGCAGCGGGGTGTCTTTTTCTGTTGTCTCGTCGCTCAGCAAAGCTTGTCATGCGTGGACTGTTGCTGGTGCTGTTGTTTCCCTGGCGACCATTACCCGGTCGAATATTACCAGGGGCGTTTCTAGGGGTATCATCAGATGCTTCAGAGGAGTCAACGCTGCCATCTCGTAGAACAGAATCATCATCACGTGACATATCAGAGGTGCGTCCTGATCTCTCCCTCCTCTCTCCCCTTCCTTGCCTTTCATTGTCACCCCCTTCTCCACCAACAGGCCGGTGGAGGACTCCAGAACGACAGGGAGCAGAGCTACTGAGCTGTGAATTATCCTCTTCAGGGGAGTGTAGGAAGAAACCAGCAGGGGCTCCTTCTGGACGTAACCTGGGCTCTTGCCTTCCTCCCAGCATTCCTCTTCCACTTTTCTCTGCTGTCCTTCCCTTCCTCCGATCTTTGCTGCCTGGGGTATGAACCACCTGTAGCGCCTCCTCGATGGTCGGCAGCTCTCCCAGTGGAGTTGTGTGTGCGTAAGGCCCCCACGAAGAGCGCTGCGATGGAGCAGAAGCGCTGACCAGGTGGCTGAGTTCCTCTGGAGGGCTGTACGGGACACAATTCATCCCTGCTGATGTCACCGGTGAAGTCATTGCGGGGATGCCGGTGGTGAGGCTGTCATTGCTGACGGAGCGAAAGACAGAATCTATTGGGTTTCCCATGACAATGTCAACATCACTGTCCAGCCCAAATGGGATGCTGAAAGTCACTGCGGACAGGGGACGACTGCAGAGAGGTGGATGGTGATGGAGGAATGGACAAATGGATGGGTTGAGCCAACATGAATGGTAAAGCAGAGACCACGGAAGCCAAAGTAAGAAGATTTAAAACGTAAGATAAAATATGAATGCAGCACAACATCTACTATAGAAATTACATGAAGCCTCGAAGTGTAACTACCTGATTTGCTTCTTTGTCCAACTTTTGTGCTCTGGAAAGACAGATAAAAACAGATTAACTCAAAAAGTCCATCTTGGTTAGATAAAACATTTTGTGCATTTCTTTCTGTTTCTTACCTGGTGATACAGGGGAGCTGATGGGCACAAAGGGCTGTTTGAAGATGAAGGAAGGAGAACCACTGAAACAGAAAAATACAACAAAGCACAGTTCATTCACAACTCTTATATTAAAGCCAATGAAAAATGTAACATTACACAACAGTGAGCATGCGTTACAGCTTTGATTCTAAGCCTGAACCAGGTCCTATTTAGATATATTTCTTAGGTTTATTTCAGTTTTAATCTGTTTTTTTTGTCCAATAAATAAAGACGTTAAGGTCTACATTGGTTTAGGACACATTCAACAATCCGACTGAGTAAGGTCATGCCTGATGTTACTCCCTTGACCATCTTTGTGTGAGTGGATGCTTGTACCTGTTGCTGTTCCCACTGACAGGACTTGTACAGTCTAGCAATCCTGATACATCTGGAAGACATAGCAAGTTTCAGAGGTTGACCGCCATTGGTCATTATAACAAAGTTACAGAAATGTTCTCATTAAAGAACTGGTCAAGGCACAGACCTGTGAGGTCGATGGGTTCTATGGGTTTGACAAAATCAGGCTTCTTAACCTCAAACCACTCCAGCAGCTCAGCTATGAAGCTCATAATGTTCAGCTGAGGAAGACAGCATATTAGGTTACCATGGTGACTCACATGTGGAAAGATTATAAAGGGAGAAATAAGCAAAAATCTTGGTGACTTAATTTCACAGACAGTATCAGATCAAAAATAGCAGAAAGATATCATCCCAAAGAACAAGGGGATGCTGCATGGAAATGGATACAACACCACAAAGCTGGAATAGGCAGTTTTACTACGGCATTATTGGGCAAAAAAGCCACAATAAGGTAAGGTAAGGTAAGGTAAGGTAAGGACCGACATTGGCAACAACTGCCTACACTACAAAGCAATCCCCCCCCGCCCCCCCCCAAAAAAAAGGAAGTTGACTTATCACAAAGAGAGTATTTAAATATGTGTCAGTATTTGCAAAGCTTTTCAAAGATGGAAAAAAAATGCTGCTAATAGTTCAGCCATCTGCTATCTGTAGCCACCAAAGTCTGACAGCTGCGGCAAATTCAAGTTAGTGTTTATTTAACGGACATGAGCTAGAGCCTGAAATGACAGTCATGTCATCTCAAAGGGCCTTTTAAAGCACAAACCTTCGGTGAGTGGCTATTTCAGCCAGCAGAGTGTTGCGACTTCCCATAGGATCTGCAAACTTTCTGTTGCTGCCATCACACAGGTCAGACTCAGCCCACTGTGACCCCCGGTTTTGGGGTTTGGGCTGGTTGCATTCGTGCTGCAACAGCCACTGATGGAAAATGGGGTGGGGGAACCAGGGGGTGTGCTAGCCAGCTAATTCTTGTCTTTGTTTTTGATAAACAGTGAGGGAGGGGCTGAGTGATTGTGTTGCATGCAGCTCTCTAATAAAATAAGATTAAATAAATAGATTTATGGGAAACCTTGGATTACTTTATGAAGCATGTGCATATGCTTGGCTCATCTGGCAGAGAGGGGGAGGGTGCAGGAGGAGGGTGTATTTTCAAATTCTTTTCCAGAAAACTGCCTACTGCAACATTAAAGAGTAACTTAGACACCCAGGCTGAAATACTGCTTGCACTGCATTAAACACATGTGTGCATGCCTTATTTTCCATCCATACCCTCTCGTCCATCACTTTAACTGCACTGATGCATCTACAGTATAAATGTGAGAGGTCGTAATGCTTACATGCAGGGCGGGTGGAGCGTAGAGCAGGTCCTCCACAGCGAGGGGACAGCAGCTCTGTAAACTGCTCTCACAAAACTCTTTGATCAGCTGCAGGTTGTACAGACTGTCGGCCACTGACATGGTGTCCTTCAGACACACATCTGGAAGGAGCAGAGAAACAGTTCATGAACATAGTATTTAATGTGTGTGTATGCACATGTCTGTTGAAGGTAGCAAACGCTAACACATGCTACTTAAATGTAAGAAAGCTTTGACAAGTGACTGTACTGATGTAATAATAAGAAAAGTTCTGAGAAATGATCTACATCATTTAAGCTTTTAAGTCTCTCACAGCATACATTATCTAAAAATAAATATCTAATCATCAAATGTGTACAGTGTAGGCATGCATGTGTGTGTGTGCATATGTGTACCCTCTAGGGGCAGCAAGCTGGGGCAGTAGTAGTGCAACACAGCAGCTATAGCGCAGCCATTAGACAGATCTTTGACCGCAGAGACCAGAGGGAAAGTAGGCGTCAGCTTGGACTGCACTTTGTCCTTCCTATAGCGAATCTAGGGAAGAAAAGAGAGGGAGGGAGGAGGAGGAGAAGGATGAGGAGGGAGAAGAGGGTAAAAAGAGGAAGAGTTGCGCAAAGACACATAGGAAACAGAAACAGCAAATGGGCAAGTGAGGGGAAAGAGAGGAAGGATTGTAAAGCAGATACAGAGAAAATTACAGATATGAAAATAACAGTCAACATTATGTTTAAGAGATTTAGAACGGTGACAAAAGAAATGTACAATCAGCCAGGAATGTCCTTCTTTTTAGACGATAAACAAAACATCAAGTCAAACTATGAAGGCAGCCAAACTCCAGGAAAATTGCAGGGAAGAAAACCCACAGAAACAAAGCGCAAGACCAGTGATGCCTCTATTAAGTAACATTTGCACACACACACACACCAACCAGAAGTTCTAGTGCATAGGTTAAAAATTACATTGCAAAAAGAAAAGAAAAAATTAATGTAAAGTAAACCATGGGTAGAAAAATGTCAGTGATTATAAGTGAAAATGAGGACGTTTGTTTGTCCTCCGGTGTCCATGCAGCAGAACAGGCACTGACGACACTGTGAGCCATCAATTCTGATCACGTAAGAAATACATAATCAGATTAGAATAAAGTGAATTTTAGCAAAGTGAAAAGCTCTTATACTGAACAAGAGATAAAAAATACACCCAAAAGAATCCAACACAAAACAAACGCTGCATGTGCATCAGCTGTAACTTGCTGAATGTTACGCAGCCTTGTTGGAGGAGGACACAGGTGCAAAGGGTAACACCCAGTCTCATTATGCCTCCTATAACATGGCTTTGTAACACTCGCTTTAAAGAAAAGCAGTAAAACATGAACAGATGTGGATAAATACTGCTAATAGCTAATGAGTTTTTATTGATCCATCCAACCTCGGGGTTGGAATAGTGATTAGTTTGCAATCTGTCAGTCAGTCAGTCAGTCAGTCATTGATTGGTTGACAGCGTGGAAGAGGTGTGGCGATTCGTCAAGTCTGTCAGTCCAGTCGAGTGCGTTGCTACGGGAGACGTGGAGGATGAGGGTGAGAAAAAGAGCGAGGTGTTATACGTTACCACTGGCGGCTTATTCCCCGACTCCTTCAAACAAAAAGCGATAGCATGCTGGATGAGGGATGGCAGAGAGAGGGAAACAAGCATAAATGACAAGGGGGCCGATCATCATGGGAACCGCCACACCACAAAGTCACATGGCACTGCTCAGGGAGAGAGGAGCGACAGGAGGAGGAGGAGAGGAAGGGGACAAATAAAGGTGGCGCAGAGGTTGTTTACTAATCAGTGAAGGACTAATGTCACTTCCCTCTCCTCTCCACCATCTCCTCCCCCTCGGCCTTGATATTCTGGGGCAGTTTGAGATGAAACTGATGACTGAATGTAACAAAGTCATAAACACCCCAGTCTCCAAAACATCATCTGTTAATCATAATAAGCATTTACAGGACATTTCTGCTCAGTCAGTTGAAAAAAGGTCAGCAGATATTTAAAGGACATCATACACTAAGGCAGTTTTCATAACGAGACAGATAAGAGTTATGTGAGGCATCTCCGGCGGGCACAATAATGTCAGCCATAGCAGATGGACGGACTCAGAGAGGAAGATAGACAGGAGAAGAGTACACTTACGGGGACTAGTTTCCAGTACCAACGGTTGGATTGACACTGCCAGAGAGAGCAAGGCGCGACAGAGACAAAATCAGGAGGGAGAGAACAAAGAAGCAGAGCAAGGTCGATGTTAGAAGCTTCAGCAACACAGCTAAAGTATGAGAGACAGCTGCTTCATAGCAAAACATCATGCATGTGTGTGTGTGAGGTTGTTTTTATTACATTTTCCTGAGCAGACTGCAGGTCTGTGCATGTCTGTGACTTGGTGGGGTCTTCGTCTTCTGTGACTTCTCTCAACTTCTGGTTCAGCTATAGGAAGTTAAAGGATAAGTTCACTATGTTGTCCACAAGAGACAAAAACCAAAATATTAAATACACTGAACAAAAATATAAAAGCAACACTTTTGTTTTTGCTCCCATTTTTCATGAGCTGAAATCAAAGATCTAAAACATTTTCTATACACACAAAAGACCATTTCCCTCAGATATTGTTCACAAATCTGTCTAAATCTGTGTTAGTGAGCACTTCTCCTTTGCCGAGATAATCCATCCCACCTCACAGGTGTGGCATATCAAGATGCTGATTAGACAGCATGATCATTGCACAGGTGTGCCTTAGGCTGGCCACAATAAAAGGCCACTCTGAAATGTGCAGTTTTATCACACAGCACAATGCCACAGATGTCGCAAGTTTTGAGGGAGCGTGCAATTGGCATGCTGACTGCAGGAATGTCCACCAGAGCTGTTGCCCGTGAATTGAATGTTCATTTCTCTACCATTAGCCGTCTCCAAAAGCATTTCAGACAATTTGGCAGTACATCCAACCGGCCTCACAACCGCAGACCACGTGTAACCACACCAGCCCAGGACCTCCACATCCAGCATGTTCACCTCCAAGACCGTCTGAGACCAGCCACCCGGACAGCTGCTGCAACAATCGGTTTGCATAACCAAAGAATTTCTGAACAAACTGTCAGAAACCGTGTCAGGGAAGCTCATCTGCATGCTCGTCGTCCTCATCGGGGTCTCAACCTGACTGCAGTTCGTCATCGTAACCGACTTGAGTGGGCAAATGCTCACATTCGATGGCGTCTGGCACGTTGGAGAGATGTTCTCTTCACGGATGAATCCCAATTTTCACTGTTCAGGGCAGATGGCAGACAGCGTGTGTGGCGTCGTGTGGGTGAGCGGTTTGCTGACGTCAACGTTGTGGATCGAGTGGCCCATGGTGGCGGTGGGGTTATGGTAGGGGCAGGCGTATGTTACGGACAAGGAACACAGGTGCATTTTATTGATGGCATTTTGAATGCACAGAGATACCGTGACGAGATCCTGAGGCCCATTGTTGTGCCATTCATCCACGACCATCACCTCATGTTGCAGCATGATAATGCACGGCCCCATGTTGCAGGGATCTGTAAACAATTCTGTAGACAATTCCTGGCCAGCATACTCACCGGACATGTCACCCATTGAGTATGTTTGGGATGCTCTGGATCGGCGTACACGACAGCGTGTTCCAGTTCCTGCCAATATCCAGCAACTTCGCACAGCCATTGAAGAGGAGTGGACCAACATTCCACAGGCCACAATCAACAACCTGATCAACTCTATGTGAATGTGTTGCACTGCGTGAGGCAAATGGTGGTCACACCAGATACTGACTGGTTTTCTGACCCCCCCCCAGACCCCCCCAATAAAGCAAAACTGCACATTTCAGAGTGGCCTTTTATTGTGGCCAGCCTAAGGCACACCTGTGCAATATTCATGCTGTCCAATCAGCATCTTGATATGCCACACCTGTGAGGTGGGATGGATTATCTTGGCAAAGGAGAAGTGCTCACTAACACAGATTTAGACAGATTCGTGAACAATATTTGTGAGAAATGGTCTTTTGTGTGTACAGAAAATGTTTTAGATCTTTGAGTTCAGCTCATGAAAAATGGGAGCAAAAACAAAAGTGTTGCATTTATATTTTTGTTCAGTGTATATAATTAAAGGGTAACTTTGATATTTTTCAACCAAAACCCTATTTTCACATATTCTGTGTCTAAGTGACTCATGGAGACAACCATTTTTAAAGTTGGTTCAGTATTGGTAGAGAAACGGGTCAGATGCACACCATCAATTTACGTCCACTAAAAGTGCTTGGTTTTCCCACTGGCAGACTGAGATTACTATTCTTAGTGTCTAACAACTTAGAGAAAAGATCCCTACAGAGTTTAGAGAGTAAGGTCCTTTTTATTTAACCAGAAACAGCCCCAAAGTTGCTATAGCCAAACCCACCAGACTCCATTTAAATAAACAGCAATTTCATCATTGTAAAGCACACTTTATTCAAAGTGGACAGAAACAAAATAAAACTTACAAATCATCTTGGTTTGTCTTTCCACTGTTTTAACAATTACCAACTCTGGTTTGGTTGAAATAAACCCTTAATTCACCCAGTTAGATGGTAAAATATGCTGGCTCTATATTTGCTAAATTACTGTTTATTTAAATGGAGTCTGGCGAGTTTGGCACTAGCAATTTCAGGGCTGTTTCTGTTTAAGAAGAGTACCCAAGATAAATGTGACAATTTCTAATGTCACAATGGAGGGACAACTACGTGGGTTGATTTTAGTGCTGCTCATCATAGAATATATTGACTTAGTCTCTATATACAGACTCTACATTCAGTGAATGTAGAGTTTGTAGGCAAACCCCGGAGATCTTGTCTCCGGAAGAAGAGCGGAAGAGCCCTGGTTTCTGGTTGTAGTCTGTTTGTAGTCCGCATGATATTGACCAATCATGTTTGAGCCGGCTGCAGTTGTTGCCAGGTTAAATGGTCCGTGCGGTGAACTAACAAGGCGGAACATAATGGGCGTCACTGCAAACTCTGAATCCATCGCAATGGTTCAGCATATTTACTTAAATATATAAATGGAAGTCGGAAACAGAAATTCGCCTCCTCTGCCCAAATCAAACCGGAATGCCAAAAAATCAGGGGCCTGCCCCCAGAGGCTGTATCGCCATCTGCTGGAAGTCAGATGCCGATGCAGCCAATGGGTTCCGAGAATGATATTGACTTAGACTTTATTGTCCCCAGAGGGGACACTTGCATTGCATTGTTCACATACAGTTTGAAAACAAGGCGCAGCTCCAACTAGAAAACAATGTTTTGATGCATTGGATGTGCTGAATGTGCATATTAAGGCAGTACAGGAGGAGGTGCACATTAATAATCCTCCAGGACTGTAACATGCTCATGTGTCATGTGACTGCAGTTGGTTCGGATCAAGGTCAGAACACACTCTCACCACACACCTCTTCAAGAGGGTCTCGGTCCGGTTGTTTTGGTGTGCACCCGAGTGCAATTGCTGTGTTCACACCTGCCCAAATGAACCGCGCTAAGGGGGCAAACAAACTCGAATTCGACTGAACTGAACCAAACAGGGCAGGTGTGAAAGCACCCTTAGTCACAAAAACATTGGTTCATAGGGTTCAGATTGAAAAATACAGAAATTACCCTTTAAGGCGCTCTACTTTGATAAAAATATATTTTGTGAATCATCACAAAAGATATTTTTTCTACTAGTTGTATCTAGGTGAGAAGGGTAGGCGTCATAAGCTTATAGCTTCAGCCTACACCTTTTTCGGTTAAAATTATAAGAGATACTACGTTGTGCTACGTTGTACTTTTTGTTGAATGACCGAAATAAACATGAACATAAAGTCCAAAAACCTTAAGCAGCCTTTACTGAAATGACATGATATATAAAAACCAAAGCACTTCAACTTAAAACCCCATCATTGTCAGAGTCAAATAATGACACACAGGCAAGTACATCCTGTGTAAATGAAATAAAAACTACTATTACCTCCTCATGGCTGTACGCCTCCGCAAACAGTCAAGTTGCAGTTGCAATTTATATCCATGTCTGTCTAGACTCATACGTAGGCGTGACAGCTGACAATGCTTCAAATATGGATGCTGCTGCCAAGAAGCTACATATTCTAAAACATGGATGCTTCACACACATCTCTTCATCCCGGCAGCACAGATGATCTATACAATTGGCACAGTTTTAAGATGGACACCCAAGATTAGTGTCACCAATTCAGTACGTGAACAAATGTCTCCCCTTCTGTTCCTGAGTTATGACGTTAAATAAAGGCCAGAAAAGAGTTTCTGCAGAACATCATGATGTCACAGTGAAGTTGACCTTTGACCCTCTGGATATAAAATCTCATCATGTCATCCTATTAGACATTTGTGTGAAATTGTGTCCTGCTTAGCATACAATTCTTGAGTTATGCCAAAAGCATGTTTTGTGAGGTCATAGTGACCTTGACCATCGACCTTTGACTACCAAATTCTAATTTGTTTATGGGAAGAAAAAATTAACTTCAGGCACTCAAGCGTGTAGCAGGGACAGATGCATTTAAATTAAGCTAAAAAGCCTTTATTCAAAAAACATGGCTGCTTACATTAAAACACTGACCAGTTTTGACCCTGGATGGACAGGAGTCAAGCAAAAAAAATGTATATGCTTGGTGGGGGTTGTCACCCAATCTTATTAAAAACTGAGCACAGGTGGGTGACAGCAATGGATAACAATGAGAGGACATTTTGAAAGTGACACGCCCCCACAAGTATTCTTGTGGTGACCCTTTACTTCAAGAGCAACTGCGTTTTTTCTTGAGTGTCATATAAAGACGGTCAATCAGCACACACTACCTCCTTCTCCAAAGTTTAATTTGTTTATCCCTGCGTCCAAGAAGATGTTTGTGCCATATTTGAGGAAATTCCCCTCAAGGCCTTATTGAGATATCAGGAGAATAAGACAGATAAGGTCACAGTGACCTTGACATTTGACCACCAAAATCAAAACAGTTCATTGCTGAGTCCAGGTGGATGTTTGTGCCAAAGTTGAAGAAACTCCCTCAAGTCTGGTCTTAAGATACTGCACTCATGAGAACGGGACAGACAGACAACCTGAGAACATACTGCCAATATGCATATACCAACAGTTTTTTGGAAACTCACGATACTGCTGCAGTTTTTCATTTGGCTTTTTTTTAATGGTCCAATAAGGAAATTGCTTAGGTCTTAAAAAAAAGAAAGAAAAATATCTACTTCTCAAAAAGCTAAAAAGACAGACAGACACCTGTACCAATGGTGGTCTGGTGATGAAAAGGGGGTAACAAACAAACATCGGTTGCTATCAGATTTTATTGACTATTTCTCTGGGTACATCCACACCAGAAACTGAAAGCTTTTCATAATAAAGTCAGACAGAAATCATGTTTTTGTAGAATTTAAATACATCTCTAAATTGTTTTGAGAACTTCAGCTTCCTAAAAAGAGATTCCTTACAGTTTTTTAAAGGCTCAAACAATCCAAAAGAGAAGCTGCAGCAGAGTGGTTCTCACTGCTGACGCTGCCAGTGATGGTAAACCACATCTTAAATAGGTCTTGAGTGAAAAACAGTGACCTGTCCTCTAATCAAATATTTAACCGAATTTGTGATCTCACCCTGTTGACCCAGAAGAGCAGAGCGTTCTCCCACGGAGCCCCGACACCCATCTGCTCCGCCTCCACCGCCATCTTCACCCTGCCCACCGTGTCTTTAGCAACCAGCGTCATCAGGGCATCAATCAGGGCGAGGTGGGCTTTCTGCACCAATCACAAGAGGGACAATTTAACCACCTGACCGGACTGTCTCTGGACATACAATGACACATTTAACCAATAAAATCAGTACTTTAATATTCATAGTATGTTATACTTTAGAGATAAACATTTACAACAAAGGACCACACACACCTTGATACACTCAAACAGCTACACGCAAACACATCACGCCAATACACCCACCGTCTTGATAGGGGTGGAGCTGAGGTCCTCCTCTGTGACGTCTGCATCCTGGACCTTTGAAGCGAAACCTTTCTTAATGAGGAACTGAAGCAGGGCCGAGTTGTCCGCCGGGGACCCCTGTGACGCTGGCTGAGAGACCCCCTGCGCCTGTGCCAGCAGGGCCTGGGCTCTGCAGTAGATCTCCGGGGAGAGTAGCAGCTTGGAGACGGCTGGCTTGAGGTGCTCTTGGTCATACTGGTCCTTGTACAGCGGCTCCCGCAACTCCACAGGGACATTTTCTAAAAAAAGGAGAGAGGAGAGTCTCATTGAGCTTTGTAGCCACGTGACTCTACGGATGGAAATGTCGGTTTGTCGGTAAGTCCACCACTTTAGTCCAGACTATCTAAACAACTATCACATAGATTGCCATGAAAATTGCACTGACATTCATATTCCCCTGAGGATTAATCTTACTGACCTTGCTGATCCCTTGACCTTTACTCTAGCACCACCAGCAGGTTGACTTTTCAATTTCTAATTTCTGTGAAACCACAACAACATTTGATGGATTGTCATAAAACATAAGAGAAATATACCTGGTGCACAGAGGATTAACACCTTTGTGATCCTCTGACTTTTGCTCTTGCACCATCTACAGGTCAAAGTTTCTGCTTATTTTCTGAAATATTTTAAGACTGTCTTGTGGGGCGGGGCGATATGGACAAAAATTTATATTTTGGTATTTACAGGAGATACAAGATATATATCTTGGTATTTTCTACAAAATGGGCGACATGTTTTCAGTTGCAAGTCGAAGCCACATTTGAGATGTCACAAGCACTTTTATAGAAGCAGTAAAATAAAAAGACAGGGATTTTATTCCCCTGTTTGAAAATATACAGCTGCACAACATGTACATGAAAAATCATGTAAAATAAAAAGCAGGGCTCTACATTAACATGTTTGCACATAGCAGTGGAGCTACAGAGGTTTAAAGGTTTGCAGCACAGGACACAAAACTATAATATGACTATAAAAGTAGGCCCAAATCCATTATAGTTTAAAATAAATAAAAATCTTTGTGAAGGGAGTTACGAAGTCATTTTCCATCTGTTGGCCTTTTAAATGAATAAACAGGTGTTTCAATGTCACACATTAGACTACAACTGCCAAGAAGAATGGCAATGCACTGTGATCCACCTCACACACAGACTAGCAGCGCAGCGCTGGATTGCACCTGTGCTGCAGTAATTTCATTCTTCGCACAGACTGATTTATGTGCAGCATAAAGACAGATGTCCCACTGTAGACTAATTAACAAACAGATTAAACAGAGGAGCAGCTCTGTGTCTCTCTGAGTGTTGCTGGAGAACTTGTGAGTGAGTGAGTGGGGCGGAGCTGTGTGGAGTGTAAGAGAGGAGAGATGCACACTGGTACGCGTTATGTAACACAACTTGACCCTATATCGATGTAAACCGTGTTGTCTAAATTTATACCTTGCTTGAAAATATTCCTTATATGTTACATGGTCGTTCTATCGCCCAGCACTACCCTGCTGATGGGTGCCCACACAAAAAAGGTGCAGACATTTATGGTTCCCAGAGGATGAATCCTAAGTACTTTGGTGATCCCCTGACCTTTCCTCTAGTGCCATCAGAAAGTTGCCATTTTTGGATATAAGTGAAACCATGACAACTTTTGGATGCGTTAACTCCTGTGATCCTCTGGCTTTTACTGTTTCGCTATCTGCAGCTCAAAGTTTTGAAGCTGAAATATTTCGACATCTTCCCAATGGATTTGCGTTTGCATAAAATTAGTACAAACATTTATGGTTCCCAGAGGATGAATCCTAATGACTATGGTGATCCTCTGACTTTTCACCTAGTGCCATCATCTGGTCAAAATGTCAGTCTGTCCAACAGTTTATCAAACATCTGCAAAAGTTAGACATTCCCATCACCAGTACGTTGTGTTTGGTGCTAAGAAGCAAGTGTTTGCACAGTAAGACGCTGAGCTAAGATGGCGAACATGACAAACGTTACATCATCAACAGCAGTTAACATTTCAGCTCAAAGTACTTCTGTGCAGCCTCTCAGAGCTGACAGAAGGAAAGCATCAACCGTGCTTATGAACTCAAAGGAGCTCAGAATTAATATTTTAGTGGGTGGCGGAAGTTGAAAGAGTCCACTCTACAAGCGGAGATAATTATCAAGAGAGTAGAGGGACCCATTCATCTACAAAAAGATGTTCTCTGCGCTGCATGTGAGGAGAAACAAAACCAAAAAGTTTATGGTGCAGAAGTAAGATATTTCTTGCCTTCCTGCAGATATAAGAGATGGGGAAAAATGAGTCAGCTTCCCTGCTTTGTTCTACTCTAATTGCTTTGTCCACTCATTGTCCCCTGTGGAAAGCCTTACAATGGTCACACAGGCGGCTGCCAGGAGACTGCGGCTCCACTATATTATCAGTTCTGGAAGAGCAAACCAAATAACTACTGGATAAAATAAAAGCAAAGAAGTTTTCCCACTATGGAGATGCGATGACGGTAAATGACAGCGTCTGACTGCAGGGAGCCTGCAGGACAAGATAATGTCATCATCTGCATGAACAGCTCAGCTAGGTCCCCCAGACAAGTGTGTGTGTGTGTGTGTGCATGCCAAGTGATCTATGGTTTGCACAGCCAGAAGCTCAGACCAGTATGAGTGGGTTATTTCATAGACACATACACACTGTGGATACAAAAACACACACTTCCCTGGCTGACCCATATTCCATCTCTGGAAGGCTGTACAGGGAGTCGGGATAATCCTGAAGATTGGAGCGGACTCCTTAAATGAATATCAGAGTCTACATCGCTTCGATTTACTACAACAGTCAATCCTCCTTCCCTCAAAGCCTTTACCAATTCCTCTCTTCTCCTTCATCTGTCCTTACATCTAACTATGACTCGTAATGAGGCTACAACTGCTCCTCTTTCCCTCTGTAATCTTTATGTAACTGCAACTCCTTCTTCCCATCAGGAGGAGGAGAGAAATTACTGCATAGCCACAGTGAATTTGAATAGGAGCCTCTATGTGTGTCACTACATAAACAACAGTTAAAGTGCACACTCCACTGCAGTGTGACACACACTGTTTGGGGTTAAACCCTCCGCCTTTCACACTCTGCAGCACTGGGAGGAAATAGGACTGCCATCACCATGGGAATGGTGGAAATGGAAAGTAGCCATTCTGTCCTGATCACAGCAGAGGCGATGAGACTGGACTGCAGAGTAGGAACCAGCTAACCCATTTAACTTGATTCAGTCAGAGGAAAAACAGAAACAGGCAGCGAACACTGCACAACACTAACATTGTATGGACTGTTTGGGTATGATCAGACAGACATCACCAAAAATATATAAGTTATTGACAAGATAATTCAAATCTCCCCTCCAGTGTCATCACACGTATACAAACTCATGAGGGGCTGCTGATTTTCAACCAGCTTTGTATCATAATAACAACATGGACAGTATGTGTGAATGAACTGTGGTAAACTTCCCTCCGTGTTATCAGCGCTCAGATCAACCTGCTCATCTCTGGGCTCTAATCCTATGGATTTCGCTTCATCCAGTGGATTCTCACCGGCTCTAGGCTGTAGCTCAAACCACAGAGCACATTTTCGTACGTCCGCCACCATGGACAGAAAGAGTATAGACGCAAATTGAGAGGGAAAGCACCCAAAACACATTTTAGTGCACTGTTTGGCTGTAAAATGAAAGTGGGTGCCATACTGTGTCCTGTATTATAAAAATGGAGGCTGAAAAACACTTAGGTCAAACAGTAAAACTAAGTAGCAGGCTACTGATCAAACATGAGCCAAGATTCTGTTACTGCGTTGCCTATTTCTCTCCTAAAATGTTTTCAGAAACACATTTTAAGTTACTGTTAAAGGAGCTATATGTAAGAAATCTAAAGCAAATAGTCGTAAAATCCTCCTAATATGTCACAGAGACTAAGGAATAATGTTCTTATAACATACTGATCTCACCGACAACAATAGTACAGCCAAAATATTCACATTTAAACATTTTTTTTTTTACAGTCTGAAAGTCATGTTTATGTTTTGAATTTGTGTTTTGGCCTGTTGCGCCACCCACCGCCGTCTACCAGTCACGCAGTCAGTAGAGTTTCAGCATCCGGGTTGCCAGTAGTTACGACTGAGCTACAATGGCTGACGGTGCGACTAAACCCAAACAACCTCGTTATGATTCACAAAAACGCCAAGACAAAACTCGAGGTCTATAGGAGATGCTTTTGAACGGTGGAGACAGTTGAAAGCGGAGAAGAATCTGAAATCGGATGTCGAAGTGGCTACTCTTCTCCTCGACAGGTAAGCTTTAGCCAAAGTTGGCTAACTAGCATCATAGCTAGACGGGGATGGACATTTCAAATACTTTCAACTGTTATTCATTTTCGATCATACATTGTAGCCCATGTGCAGGTGGGTCATCGACCCGACTGATTTTTTTGAGAAACAAACGTTAGCAGCAAGGCAAGCAGCATTAGCAGTGTCTCGGTACATAGCATTAGCAGCCGGGTCCTCCTCCGCTGTATCCCGGCAGCAGCATTAACAGCAGAGAAGCCAGTGTCGGGCAGACACGACTCGCGGCAGTATTTTGAATTTGAGTGCAGTAACTGTTTTGGTCACATTCTTATATACAGCGCCTTTAACTGTAATTCAAGATAGTTTGTTGTCAGTCATCTGCCATATTGTTTCCTCAAGAAAAACAGCCCAACTTGCATTGAGTCACTCACTAGCAGGGGCGTTTACTGGTCTGGTGTGGCGCAGTGCATTCTGGTAGTTGTAGGTGTTCTACCTTTTGAACAAGAGTGAATGCCACAGCTGTTATCCTCTGGTTTCTCTGCTCATGCAGCACCAATTTCTAAAGTATCTGTGTCTTTCTACTGCATACACTACCTAGTTTTTCAGCAGTGAAAGACTCCTTTAAACATGCTCGTTAGAATTTTCCAGAGGCCAAGTTGAAGTCCTCTGATTCCTTGTTTTATCAGACCATCTGTAAAAGCTCAGATATTGAGTTTACTCTCATATATAGTAAAGAAGATCAGCATCTTGTATGTTTTATCTCATGTTGTCTAAATGCCTATTTGTCAAGACCAAAAAAAGACACAGAGATCATTAATTCTCTTTATGTTAATTAATAAATGACTTCGAAAAATCTAGCATGTTCTCAAAAATTGCAATTCTCTGCATGGCTACTTGAGGCCAGTCAGTCCCTACAGACACTCATATCAAATGCCCAAATCTACAGCAGAGATAAACATTCACAGCCTGGTACAAAAAATACCAACAAAACATGGAGGAAATGTCTCTGACAATTGTTTTAGAGCAGTCATTCTCCAACAGCATCAGGTAGAATGAATCTCAGCTGAATCCGGATTGTGTATGAATCCCACGTGTGCCTTTATTAGCGCTATTTTCTTAAGGGCTTCCATTAAAATTCTATGAGGCACCCGTTGGGCATTTTCCAGTTGACAGACAACAATAGCCTCCCCTGCTGAGAGGTTTCAGCTCATCTCTCCTCCTGTCTCACTGACTGACCGGACACAAATGTAACATGAAATTCTGTCCAAAGCCATTACTGCAGCACTGAAACAAAAACATGGATCATCACATAAAGAGAAACTGTGCAACTTTACTGTTGCAGTATGAGCCTACAGTGTGACATCACGGTGTTAGTCAGCAGAGGCTGAACCCACGTACAGGGTGCATTGACTGGAGTGTGTCATTCGCACTGAAGCTTGTGTGAAATAACAGAATCAGCACTGGAACAATAAGATGACTGAATTTTGATTATTAATGTTAGTTACTAAACACAACTGCCAGATATTCTCTGTTAAACATCAGTGTAAATTAATATATCTTTGGATTTTTGAGCGTTGATCCAACAAAAAACATCAATTCGAAGACTTAACTTTGGCTCTTGGAAATAATTATGTGCTTTTTCTAATTTATCAATTTCTATTTACATATTTTTGACATGTTACGGATAGTCATAGCTGAAAGTAATCAATTGCACCAATTAAAAGGAGCCCCCTACAGTATGATGTCATCCAATGCAACAAAACTTGAACACTACAAGCCTTATAAAGGATTTATTTGTCTCAGTGGTAGTACATTGGATTACACTGGACTTTGCAGGTGTTACACTGGTGCACCTACTGTATTTTTGGGCCACTCAAAATAAACATGAGGTGCAAATATGCTTTTCCATTTCTAGCATATTTCTCAAGGGATATATGAATAGCACTTATTTTTAAATGCATGCATTTGTGGACACATGTGCAGCAGCTTCAATCAAAACCACTCCATTGTCTTGAAACCCACTATGTCACCTTCACTATACTGCCACGCGCTATAACACAGCGTGCGTGCGTAACACTGACACAAATATTATGCAGGCCTGACCCATTTGCAGCCAGCCAACACATATCTATGCATCTTTTCCCAGTCGATTTATTCAATTATAGTGCTATAGGCTTTATGGTTCTATCTATGTTTATCTCTGCAGGTTACACTGAGGATGGTGAGCCCCTCCACGGGCCTGATGGAGCCTGACAAAAGGCTTTGTTGCACTGCAGCGATGACAGCCTCCAGTACCTTCATGCATCACGCACCACTGAGGAGATTCCTACTGACAAGCCTCATATTCACGTCAATAATTGGCTAAAAAAAATGCTTCAGTATTCTGGTAACCTACATGCGGAGCTAAATCTGCACAGCCCGGGAGCGAGGGAGGGACGCGCAGGTTAACTAGGCTGATCACCAGTGCAGCGGTGGATGATGAGGATGGATGTTGGGCAGATGGATGCTGGAGGTTCCCTTCGAAATAAAACGACAAGTCTGACTCCGGCTCCATATATAGCTGGATAAATTATTAAGCGCCCCACCCAAGCAGCGCCTCAGTGATGAGAGCAGTGAAAGACGGGAGCCTGTACCTGCAGAGCCGTACGATTTCGACAGCAGCCACCGGACGCTGGCGCAGATCTTCGCCCGGCTGAAGTCGTACTTGTCCAGCGGTTTGATCTCCGGCACCGAGAAGGTCTTCTTCATCGCGCTGGGAGAGTCCACCATGGCCGCGCTGCGCCGCACGGAGCACACGGAGGCAGCAGGAGGAGGACCGCACCGGGAAAATGTGAGGAGGAGGGATGGAGGAGGAGGAGGAGGAGGAGGAGAGAGGGGGGAGGACCCTGTGATGCAGACACACACTGAAACATGAGAATGACAACAAGGCGACTTAAAGTTAAGCAGTGCGGCTGAAAATAGAAACATGAGGCCCAATGTTATCACATACATGAATCAGAAATCAGATATATGGAGAATAACATACCTCACAATAAGATATCGACGCGGCTCCACGCCCCCGTGAACGTCACAACTTGGCCAGTGGAGATGTCACAGAAAAATAACTCAAAGGTTTCATATTGTCAGCACATGCGAGCAGCAGTAATATTCCTAACAGATGCTCTGGAGAAAAACAGCATCGCAGTTTTTGCCCGAGAGCGCAGATTGAAGATGTCTACTTCCACAGGAATCACAGCGTACGTGTCAGTGACAGTGTCCCCTTCTTCCACATGGAGGTGCCATTAAGCAAGGCACAGACTTTAACCCCAGCCTTCCAGTTAACCAGTAGAAATGTTGTATTTGTATTGCAAAGCGCAGAAAATGACAGAAATGAAACAGAAACTAAATTCTGGTTCATTTCTGTGCATTTGATCCACTACAAGGTGTTCCTAGGACTGGATGAGTAAAATCCCCATGTGATATCATAGGAAGTTATTGAAGTATGTAAACTTGTAGTGAGCTCATGAAGGCTCATAGTATAGTTTACCATAAACTATACATCCAAAATGGTGGCTCCTCTTTTAATGCATATGGTTTTCTGTCAAGCAGCAACCTCTGGGCCTGAAAAATGAAGCCAACACCAAAGTGACAAAAATGACAGTGATGCCAGTCACTCCCATTGACACACTTATCAAAATGCCCAACCTTAACTTTCTATTACACCACAGAGATTGCATAAATATAAACCTGAGTCATCAGACAGATGTTTTAGATGCGGTATAGAGGAGGGCTCGTTTCTGCATTGCACCTGGTCATATACAAACCACCGCCACCATTTTGACACGATTTTAGTGAGGTCATGACAAAACTTGTATCATTTGCTTTTCCATTGGACCCACAAATTTGCCTACGAGGGAACTTTACAACCATTTGTGCTTACCGTTTTTACAGAACTTCCAAGAGGTTTATGGAAATAGCTTAGAGCATTACCAGGAAATGCATAGCGGTGACATGGAAGTCTGATTCCCACCTTCTTATAGCCAGGTGGTTTTTGGAAATGAACAGCTGCATTCCACTTGAAAAGATCACGTATAGTATGAAACAAATACAACACCTTTAAGATTTGGCAGCCCTACTTGATGTATAGCCTACTGAGACTTTACCAACACCTCTATCAGATTTGTTGTAAAAAGGACATCGCATTGATACACCATTAGTCCTCTGATTAAGCCAGGATTATTTATATTGCCTCTTACTTTGTGTTGTTTTTATTTTACTTTTAGAGAGGGGATTTGGAGCCATGTTTGTGTGTGTATTCATCCATGTACATTTTGTTACATGGAAAATTTGAAAATAAAATATAAAAACAACCTTACAGCAGAAATTAACATGTTTACAGCCTGGTGCAAAAACTGTTTTGGTCTCTAGCTTATTTTCAAGTTACTCATAATAAGGGCTGATCTGAGTGACAGGTTGTCTGCTCATAGTGTCCTTGGCTTCTCAGTTAGATGATCCACCCCTCCCCCCTCAACAGCGCCAGCCTCTTGCCCAAATATGGTCACTTCTGGCTCCAAAAAAACCAAGATGGCAACGACTGAAATGCTGAACTCAAGGTTTCAAAATGGTAGTCTACAAACCAATTGGTGATGTCACCGTAGCTATGTCCATTATGTTTTCAGTCTAGGGTTTAAAGGTTCATTCATTCATTCATTCATTTTCAATTTTTGCTTATCCTGTTGAGGGTCGCAGGAGGCTGGAGCCTATCCCAGCTGTCATTAGGCAAGAGGCAGGATACGCCCTGGAGAGGCTGCCAGACTATCACAGGGCTGACACATAGAGACAGACAACCATTCACGCTCACATTCACAATCTAGTCACCAGTTAACCTGCATGTCTTTGGACTGTGGGAGGAAGCCGGAGTACCTGGAGAAAACCCATGCTGACATGTGGAGAACATGCAAACTCTGCACAGAAGGGCTCCTGCACCCCAGGTTCAAACCAGGAACCCTCATGCTGTGAGGTGGCAATGCCAGCCACTGCTCCACCATGCCACCCTAGTTTAAAGGTGAATTATGCAATTAATTCTTGAGAAAGACAGCTGATTATTGAGACTCATTCCCAGGTAGTCAAATACCAACGCATTGGGCTGGTAGTTTGGTCCAACTGCCAACCAAAGGTCGTCAGTATTTGACTACCTGGGAGTGAGACTCAACAATCAGCTATCTTTCTCCAAAAATGCACATTGAACCTTTAACCTAAGTCTGCTCTGACAAATGTTTTAAACAGGGCTGACGTAGCCCCTCTTACAAAAAATCCGTTTTGCACTATTGCACTTCATATCGGTAGTGTAGCAACATGTAGACAATACAGTAGGTAAGTACAAGTAAACAAAACCCCTCATCAGCATTTTGAAGTGACACACAAACACTTACAGTGTCTTGTTTGTGCTCTGCATGTGCACACCACAGAATCCTCTGAAACAGGAAAACCATGACAGTGACACTGAAGCTGATGAGTGAAAAAGTCTACGTGCAGCAAACAAACCCAGAGTGTGACTTTTATCTGTTGTCCAGATGCAAAACTCAGCAACTCAGCAACAATATTATTTTACAGTTATTTTTAATATTATTTGCAACCCTGACAGAGAAAAGGATAAACATATTTAACCTAAAAGAAACAACAATTCATACTGTGTTCTTATCTCAAGGTTTTGGTGCATGTGCAACACAGGAAACCGCAGCAGGTAACACACCACAGCTCTGAAATCAAAGGCTACAAAAGAGGACATTTTGAATTGGGCAGGTGCACACTGTAAAAGCAGAGAGCAGGGTTGCCTCTGTGTTCATAAAGTTGTATTGGTTGCTGCACAGTGTCTAAATAAAGTGCTTGTATTGAAGAGAAGAGGTGCAGATCATCTTACCATGCAGGAGAGAGTGAATTAATAAATGTATGTGTGAGTGAGTTGCCTTATGGATCAGTGAGGTCCATACTCATATTTATTACCTATGATTAAAGTATTTACAGAGCAGCCCCAGAATTGAGCTTAAGATCATTTTTTATCACAAGAGTAAAAGATTAAACATAGCCACCAAAATGAGGATTTATTTATCACAAGCACAGTTAATGACACATTTTCATATGATACTCACTTGTAAAAAGTACATTATCTGTACTGGATACTTGTTTTGTCCATGTATTGGCTCAACCCCAATAAATATGTGTAAACATGACAGTTTGTGTAGATAGAGGAGATGAGGTATGACTGTAAGACTCATGCAATACATGTGATGTATGACCACCTCCCTCCTGACCTTGCATGTGAAATTTCAAAGCTGTGTGAAGAAGTGTGTATATTTTACATCCAAAACGTTAATTTTCTGGTATAAAAGTTTTGCTTTTTTTCCCCGACCAAGTCTATATTTGTATATGATATTGCTGAAATTAGAATTATGACTAGTCTCTTTGGTAAACTGTGAAGCATATCTAAAACTTTACATACACTATTATTCCAGGGAAAATCTACAAAGCTTCTTTTACTGATGTTTCACCTGTCTGTAACCGCTGTAAATCTACAATCAGCAATTTAGCACATGCTTTCTGGTCATATAATTGTATATACATTGGAAGTTCACTGTTTCTCTGAGGCTTTTGAGAATCTTGGGAACCTGATCCATTCATAGCACTCATACCCCTGGAATGACTAGCTCCTTATCCTCTGCTAGCAAATGCCAAAAAAAATGGCTGTTTTATTTGGAGTGGTGATTGCAAAGAAGTTAATTTTACGAGCCGTGTTCCTACATATGATTTATGGTTAAATTAAAATGGCAAACACATTACATCTGGGGAGACTGAGATTCTATAAGGAGGATAGAGGTGTTTGATGAGTTTTGGCTGATTCTGTGAGTTTATCTATCTCCTTTAACTTTAGCTTATATTGGAGTTATGCTATGTAGCATGTGAATTAGAGTATGGTGAATGTGCTAGGAAAGGTAGTATCGGCACTGTCTCTACCTGGAGCTCGCATGTACAGAGCCTGGGTTTGGTTGAAGGTGGCAGTGCTGTTTGGGCTGAGAAAGCCATGTGTAATGTAAGGTAAAGGAGGTTGTTGGGTTGGTGCAGGGAGCAGTGAGACCTGGCATTAGGGGAGTGTCTCTGGGACGCCAGAGATCACTGTCTAGCCTCCTGGAGGTGTCGTGGGACCAACTAGACGAAACACTGGTGAAAGGAGGTTCCCACCTGATGACCCCAAAGACATGTTAGTTATCACTGCTCACTGGTCTGTATAGTTAAGCCTTGCCATAATAGCTTATCATAGGGAGGTTATTCACTGAGTGCTGATCCTTTTCTAGAGCACAAACTTCTTGTGTTTATTTGAATGAATGGGACCCTGAACTGAACTCTTTCAGACAAAGGCTGAAGCACCTTGCTGTGCCTGTTGAAATGTTTTTCTGATGTCTTTTCTATGCTCTAAAAAAAGCTATACACACACGTTTAAAAAAAATGTGCGGCATATCTGCTACAGCTCTCTAAACGCTGTGTGGCAGGGGTGGGAATGGTTGTAACACCTTCTGAAAGTGTTACAACTAACCCCAGTGACAACTAAACACATTTCATCTCTCCTGCTCCTGTTTTCAGTATGCAGCTAGAGATGGTGAAAATAACTGACAGGGGTGTGTTTGCACAGGTATTAGAGTCTGCATCAGATAAGGTGAAGCAGAGAGCGGCAGTAAGATCTGTACTCAAAGAACTCTTCATGCCATGTGACACTGAGCAGATACTACAAGACATTAAAAAACCTCCGCTGTCCTTTGGGGCTATCAGCGGTCAAAAAGTCATCAATACACAGCAGGAGGA